TATAACTCCCAAATAACAGCGGCATCCTTTCCGACAAAAACTTTGATGATGTGCGCCATGGGCAAAGTGACTCTTTTTTTGGCCCCCCTGTATATTGCAGCTGTGAGGGAAGCAATAAAACGTTCAGATGCGCACGGTTCGCCCTGAGCGAGCTTTTCAAATTTTGTGGGAGAGGGGGGGGGTCATGACCCAAGTTCGCCAAAAAAAATCTTGAAGAGCTGTACTTACGTCGCGTAGAGTATCACAATATTTGACGTGACCTCTTCGAATCGCTCCACCAGTGAGGAATTCAACGAATCATTGATTTCCAGGTTGATGTAGCTTTGTACCTTAAAGGCAAGATTCGGGATAAAATAGGTGTGGAAAAGCGTTCAGTTATGAAGCTAGAGGTGGGAGGTGGTCTGTAAAAGAGAAGGAAAGCAAACGAAACCACCGATTACGCCCCGTACAGAGACCTCCCCTATTTCAGCCACATTCCACCTTGGGATAGAGAAGAGGCGAATTGGACGAGTTTCACGAACCTAACTCTACTTGCTCCAGTGCCAATGACATTGGATCGCGATGGGACCGCTGCCTCAAATGCGCCCGCGCTTTTCAAGCAGCGCCACGTGGCAACCGACAGCGGAGGGTGGGGCTTGCGGACGAAGGTGTGAGTTGCGGGTCGGACGAGCTCCTTGCGCCTTTGTCGCGCACTTTCAAGCGCAAAAGGGGCCCGACATCAACACTTGTCCACCTGCCTACTACCCCCTGGATGGAACAAGTACTTGGTAGAATGAGTCCAGAGACATAAAGGCAGACGTCGGACTAGACGGTGTAGACAAAGGAGAGACAATGAGACCAGGGAAGGCAAACCTGCGAGAAAGAGCCCTGACCTCCACATCAATCGCGGAGGAAGGGAAGCGTTTCAATGATTTCAAGTCCTCAACCAGTAGCGCCCTACTGTGCATTGTGTGCGACGAAGCTGACAGACCCTGTAGGTTCGGGCTGACACGTTCACTATGGCGTTGTCCCTTTAAATCTCACTAATCCCGGAGTTTGTCTTTTAAGGCTGAAAGGAGGCCGCGTGCTTGGCACCAGTGCGCCCAAAAACACCGTAGGCACAAGGATGAATGTAAGCATAACTGCAAAATGAGCACTTTATCTGGAAAAGGTTTTTTTGAGCGACTTCTTAAATTATTCTTTTGTTTTTTCTCTAGCGAACAGCGCACTTCTACTTACGGTTTTCTAGAGAAAAAAGACCACGCCATTGTTTTACATGAATGCTGGGGTTCGTTGAACCAAAAATTTCGCCCCAACGGACAAAATCAGCCTTCTGCCCCGTTATACGTGAATGGTGCGCATTGTCCACGCAAAGCAGCTTGCGGACCCAGAATGTGGCAGCGAGCTGTTGGTTGATTTTGTCGGGCGGCCGTTCTGGATGTTCTGGTAGGTTTTGTTCACAACCATTCTTGTGAAGCATTCTTTTGATACATTTGCAAGGCAAAATGCCGCCAAAAATGCAGTTAACAAACATAAACACGCCATTGCAATTGTGAAGTTCCCCTTCAAAGAATGGTATGGAATAGTGGCGGTCGGGACCGCACCCACAGCAGTAGAGGAAACGCCCAATCGAGCGCTCTCTCCAGTCTTCTCGTTCAGATGACGATAGGAATTCTATGGAGAAGACCACAGTAGTTGGTGGAATTATATTCAACTACTGGTAGGCTGTGAGTTGAAAGAAAGTCGAATGTGCGGCGCACTCCACAGCTGGATCTGCATCTTTTTTTGAAAGTTTATAGTAGTTTTTTTTCCTAGGTTTTAAAGCTGTGGTTATTTCCACTGTCACTTCATTTTATAGCGCTTTTGCGCGTGGACGCGTACGATTCTGACTCGATTAATAGGTCGACATGGGTACCTAGTATTTCATTTATTTATTTATTTATTTATTTAAACTGCACTTTAGGTGCGCCCAAAACAATACCAGGACTCATGTTAGTCGAAACATAACGCAAAACGAAGAAATAAAAATAAACCAAGCAGTCACCAAAGACCGAGTACAAAACTGCTACAGCCAGGAGACAACATTCCCCTAATTAGATGGCATCAAACTGGGGACCGCGAGTCGTCATTATGTAGAAGCCGGACTTTCATGCCTGTTGACAAAAATGAAAAAGACCATTCATCAAACAAACAGAAACTCAACACCATTAGTCACCCATGAATACCTGGAGAGTTGAGGAGACTGCATAGCGCATCGGCCTCTCAACTAAACATTTTAAGTAAGTAGAACAGTAAGGTGCAAAGCCAGCCTAGGCAACGCAACCGACCGCAGTCGTTCCCGGGCGGGCCAAAGTAGGTGCCTCTTTGATCTAAATACGAACCCAGGGCGTAAGACCTAGGCCCAAGTATTCGAACCGGAATACTTGTTGACTTGCACCGACTTATGGAATTAAAGGATAGTCATAGCAGGTAGTCAGACCCGCGTTCGCGGATTTGAGGTCAAATTGATGCCGACGAGTGTCAAATCGATAATTCATATCTGATGAGCGTACGAAAGCTTGCTATAAGACGGCGCAGCGAGCCAAGGCAACTCCTTTTCGATTCTCTCTCTTTTTTGCGAATCTTGCGATACCTCTTCCCCTCGAGCGATTTGACGAACATGTGAAAGTATTCTCAACTTTAATCTCATGATTTTACGGTTTCGTTGAAGCGGTAGCTAAGTCGTTGATTGCGTAGATTGCTTAGTGTTTTTCGTTTATACCTATTGAAGTTGCTGTTATATCATTTGTTAGGTTGTTGTTAGTACCACTTACCTCTGAAGTCGATTGTTGTAGCATACTAACTACCTCTTTATGTTATTCTTGTTGTTAAGTGTTTTTAAAGACACTAAACGTTTAATTACCCAAGTTTGAGTTTGAGGCAATCTACAAGTCCCGCGTGGCGCAGCACACACCTCACACACACCACACGACATTCTACTACCGATACCAAACCGTTTCAAGCAGGTAAGTCTGGGTGACTGAATGGGGAGAGCGGATAACCAAAAACGAAACTTTTGAAAATGGCTCTCGAGCTCAGCGCGCAATAGCAATAGCCCAGATACGACTCGTAGACATGCGCCGCAGCCATGAGATAGGGGAGAAGTTATACTCCAGGCTAGCAGAACAAGGAAAGAATGATATTGTTAGTATATAAGAAAACGCCCAATGAATGTGTCCAGATAGAAGAAAAGAACAAAACATCAGCAGTCCCCAACATTGAATGGTTGGTTTGATGAATAGGTTAACATGAGGGGTAAAGCATAAGGTGATGGTAAACTCTTTTGTATGATGCGCTGCGCATTCTGCCTTCCCTTAGAATCGTGGTGCCTTACATATATGGACGGAAGTGGTTTATCAGCTAGCGACGCTGGCTTACACGCCAGGTCCAGGGCCAAAACCTAAGACGTGCTTCGCTCAGGCCAATCAAGTCCTCCATCCCTCTTGGATCTTAGTTGGTACCAGACTCGTCTGGAAGAACAAAAAACGCTGCCGTGTACATCGGCTGATATTCGCAGGTCACTGTAGAGACCGAATCTCATTCAAAAAGCAACCACGAATTTCTGTGGGAATAGGATGCGTGGCGCATACCAGAACGAATTGCTCGGCATGGAGTACTTCATCTTTTGGATTTTCGATACATATACTTACTCTTAAATTGCAGCAGGCATAAACTCACGTGCACTTTGTATTTCTTGCGTTTTTTCTCGAACAACTCGACAAATTGCTCTCCATTTCGATCTCCTTTTACACTCACGACGACCACCTGGAACGCAAAGACTGCTAAAGCCCTCTAACTTCTTGATCAGTGGGCAGTAAGGAGTGTTCTATCATTTTCATGTAGGTGAATTTTAAGCAAACCAAGCACACCTGTCGATAGTCGAGCCGTTGCAGCAGTTTCAGGAACACGTAAGACTCGTCAGCATACGCTGGTGTTGGCCGAACGAACGTTGGATAGATCTTCTGAAAGCAGCTGTATCATACGGAAACCCTAAGAGGTTAGTAAAACCACTGACCTTTTTGCTAAATTCTGCCTCTCTAACCATAACCCCTATAGTTGGGATACTGTAGAACCCGAGAGCATAGGCGGTGGATGATACCCGTGAAAGATACTCCGGTTGTGTTGCTCGTTGTAGCAGCGGAGCATAGATGACGACGGCGATTCGAACGATTCACTACTTGTTCGCAAACGATCTCCTCGGTCAGCTGTAGTCGATTTGCGCTTCTGAAATTTTTTGCACTAAAATAGCGCCTGATAAAAGAGTCTCAGATTTTATCCCAGAAAAGCTCTCACGGTTTATCTCTCAGGATTCCTCCATCGATATACTCGGCCACAACAGTGTAATTAGCCAAATGTGTAGTTTCGCTCTCGAAAATCTCCAAGTATGCAGTCTGAAAAATCCAGTTGCTTTCATTTTTTTGTACTGGTTGACTTTAGGGTGAAATATCCTGGATTATGATGCTGTACTTCATTTTTTGATTTCTTTTAGGAGCATCAGTTGCTTCTGAGGTGGACGATTGGAAAATATCTTGTTTGAAATAGCATATACCCTCTCTTCCGTGCTCATAGACTTTCCGACTCTTCCCTCATCTATCGTTCGCCATTTCCCTTGGTTTTGGCAGTACAACGTTGGTCACAATAGATGGTATATGTTAAATTTCTGAAGCTATACTGCGATGGGTTGTTTTTGTTTGTTAACTGCTGTTTTTGGCCGCTGTTCGCCTTGCGAATGTTTCACAAGAATGCTGGGTTGTGAACAAAACTTTCGCCTCAGACAGGACTCGAACCCGCACCCCACCAGGGGTTGTGAACAAAACTTTCACAAGAATGCTAGGTTTGAACAAGCTTCGCCCAGAGGCACTCGAACCCCACCATGAGCTTGCGGGTTTCGAGTCCCGTCTGGGAGCGAAAGTGTGGTCACAACCAGCATTCTTGTGAACTGCGTATGGTGTCCAGAAGGTGCACAAAACGTCTCCTTGATATGCGCGCGGCCGCATATAGTCTGGACTGTTCAGACGTGGGCACAAGTAACCGCCGGCAATGGGAGTCTTAATGTTTTCTTACGATCCTCCTAACATACATGAAGATGATTTTTTCCAACTTGAAGTCCTCAGTAGTGTGGAAAAGGAACGATCGAAAATAAGTTTTTCATACTGGAATTGGACCCACTGTTCCGCGAGCATAAAACAAACAGCGCGACTACCTCAGATGAAAAAAAGGTTACAAAGCTCCCGTCAGCCAGGGGCTGAGAGTGCCGGACATGAGTGACGGACAGGCATCCTTTCTGTGTAGTCTTAACACGTTGAAAACCGCGCATGTTTTACGTATTGCGGCCGCTTGCGAGTACAATGGTTTTCAGAAATTTATCAAGGCAGCATCAGGGAACGAAACCTATTGAATGTTAAGAGGAAATCTTAGTAAATGTGAAGGAAAGTAAAACAGAAGAAAAGCTGCACACTTTTTCCCAAAATTTTGGTTCTGAGCCCCCCAGCGATGTATGACGGACTACAGCCTTACTTCATTGCATGGGCTACAAGGTGGTGGTAAGAATAGGACTCTAAAGGAGATGAGGAAAGCAAAGTTCTGTGATACAGCGAATGGAAGAAGCTCCTGGATAGCACTACAAAACGTTGAGTTAGCCTAGCCTCATGGTTGACAGAAGTCCGGACTCAGAAGACCAAAAAACAGCGCTTGCAGTAGCCAACCTATTATGCGTTCAATGAAAAATAATGCCTAACGAGGTACGAGAGGATATAAAAAAGGCAAAGGTATGTATTGGTCCCTCCAAGGCAGCCATCTGCGCACTGAATTCTGGGAAGACTTCAAGAGTACATGCGAATCACTTTCATTAAGTTGGGAGATGCCAAAGATGCCAGAAATTACACGGTGATGAGAAAAGTGAGGATATGCAAGTCGCAATAAGAAGTTCACTCTTCTCTAACTAACGAAATGGCTCAGAAATGCAAAAAAGCACAAGACTAGTAGTGGCACTATTTAAAGAAGAGATGCTAGCAAAAAACATGCGAAATAATCTGAAATTCCAGCTTCTCCCTCAATAGGCACGTTTTCTGAGGCAGTTCCGGGTGAAGATTACCTCAAAGATAATGGCAATGGGTGAAAAGAAATATTGCTCCGCTTTATTGGTCATTGGACCACGTAGTGAATTGGCTATTACATGTCGTTCCATACTGAACCCGTAGATCTGCTGGCTAATCTTCTACAGATAAATTGTTATGCTGCCAACGTCAGTACGGATATGGTGATCTTTGTAAGCATTCTTTCCAGCGCACACCATTTATCCAAAGGAATGGCCAGTTGAACGCCTGCGATCACTCTTTAACCCTTAACCACTGGTAAAGAGGGGGGCCAAAAAAGAGTCACTTTGCCCATGGCGCACATCATCAAATTTTTCGTCGCACAGGATGCCGTTGTTGATGAATGTTTTACGGCAGAATATTCCTTAGGTGTCCCCCATAAGCAGAAGCAGGCCCTCCTTCACTGCCCCCACCGTCTTCAGAATATGACGTCATCTGCCGTCACCGTCGAGCTCAACGAGGCTTACCGTAATCGCTCCGGCCTGAAGCTGCTACATAATTTCTTCAATGGATTAACTGGTGAATAGCTTCCAGAGACACTAGCTGTGACTGTGCAAACCGCTTTTGACCAGCGTTTCAGGGACGTCGTAATGGTCTATGGTACCTCGACGACCTCGTTGAGCTCGTACCGTGAACCATGTTTCCGTGGGAAAATCTTCTGATGTCGTCGGTGTAGAAGGCTGTTATGTAAATTTTGATAGATTAGAATGTGCTCTTCAATATGCAGTTGTGCTGACTTGGTTTGGTTGATTCCGACTTGAATGTGAAGGGGAGCGACTCTTTTTCTTTGTCCCCCCTCCTGTACATGTGTTACACTCCCGTAGTCAGAGTCACTATCACAGTTTTGGCACCTATTGAGATAGGAGAGCAGAGCCGATGGCGGAATTGTGTACAAATGGGAAATTTATAATTCTTCTAACAAAAAATTATCAAAAGCCAGAGCAAATTATCCTGGATGAGTTAATAAAGCAAGCCCTACCGCAGGTTACTGTACAGTTTGGGTAACTTCGAAAAGCGAATTTTTCTGAGTCACACCCTTGGTACTGTGCAGTGTCTAGTGTCTATTCCTCAGTCATCTTGTATCAGGGGCAAAATACGTAAAAGCACGATGCACAAAATGGAAATCTTTGTTCGACCGAAAGCAAGTCAGAGAACGACTTGGCGTGCTTCTACGAATGTATTGAAGACCCCAACTTCTAGAATTCTGACTACAGATGGCGCGGACGAAGGATTAGAGACTCCTGTAGCGACATAGTTTTGGAACCAGTAGAAACTGACGAAAATTTGTTTGAGCAGGCACAGCCGCTGGAACCCGAAGCGCCTCTACGGTGTGCGGCTTGAAATTCCTGCCAAGTGCGGTCCGAGAAGGACATCGGCTCGTTCCACGTATAAAGAGTGGAAAATATGAATTTGTTGAATGGGAGTGAACTGCCAGCTTGATTTTTTGAAAATGCTCATTCGAGCGGAGATGGTGTGGTGACAGGAGGGGCCACTGCCGCGCACATGGTCTCTGGATCAAATCCCAGCTCAAACCCAGCGTACGTCAGCCAAATTTCTACAGATGATTAGTTGTTGCTAGGAGCGACAATTACTACACAAAACACATCGATAAGTTAATTTCAAAAAAGTCGTCTAAGGGTCAAAGAACGCCTGCGCACTTACAAAGGTCAGCAAACTCATCATCCATCGGTTATATTGGTATCGGTTAATCAGCACAAAAATCGCCCTGCATGACGAAAAAACCGATCTCCCATCTCCCAAACCACCACTGTATTTGGCGCATCCACCATTACTTTCATCTTGGGCGTTTGCGCGTTTTCTTAAGTTATGTTTACACGCTTCAGGCGGAGAGAGGCTATCTCACGGAATTCAAAAACGCTGCAGCGAGTTTCCTCTTCAACTGAAATGGATTCCTTATTTACCGAATGCGTTGAGTGGGCTCTCATCCAAAAAACTATTCAGCGCAATTTGTGAAAGAGAAATCGGATGAGCTCTGTAGAAAGATGAGTTTCCCTGCACCGAGCAACTTAATCGCTTGCCGAGCAAAGACCCATCAATCTCAGAGGAGCTGCAGACTTCGGTTCCAAGCTCTTTTCATAACTTTCAAAGGCTAAAAGGCAACGAGGAGTGAAAGAGACCGTTAGAACTAAACTACTCTGCTTACCTTAACAGAATGGACATGATCCTCAAAATTGTGCTCTCCAAAGATCAGAACCACGATTTTCAGTAGAGGCTTTGCACCGGCAAAACGAGCTAGTACTACGGGCAATAACACTTGAATAATCATCGGAAGAGCCGGGGCGAAGATGACGAAGATGATGGCGCACCGGCGTTGCGACGAAGATGATTGTCCAAAGTGAGCGCACGCCTAGGCACTCAGCGAACAGAGGAAGCTCAGAGAAGCGCGCCTCAGCGCCAAACGAATTACTCGTTCGTCTAGGTAATGGCTTACGGCGAGTCTCAATCTCTTCGGTCCTACACCGCCCGCCTATCACTGCATTTATGGAAACGCGCTGAGAATCACGGCATCTTGGCCTGCTATGGACAGTGTGACATACTGCGGAATAACTTTTAGAATGTGAGCCAAGGAATGAAGTGAGGAGAGTGCCTGATGTCACTGGAACCCTTCATATTCGCATCAGATTAGGTGAAGTAGAAGCATTCGAAAGGTCTTAGACTATACTAGTGAAGTCAGTGACCCATCCTTATCAAATAGTCTGTTTTGAAAGATAGTTTCTAAAATAACAGCCTATTTTTAGACAACTGGGCTTGAATAAATCAACGCTGAGTGAATTCCTTCATTGAGTGTTTCTCTACAGTTACTGAACCATCCTGCGGTTGGATGCGATGGGAAACAAAGGCTTCAAACACCCACGCCGGATTCGTGCAGCCAAAACAGATAGTACTTTCATGACCTGATGAGCTCTCCAACATCACCAGCTAACATTCATTTGACATTTGTCCGGAAATGTGAGAGTGGAAACTGGCTAGGCAGAGAATATAATAGATAGGCAGAGTCAAAACCTGCCATGTCCT